AAAACCAGTGATAAGTATATATGTCTATACTTGATGTATGGTAATTAATTGATCCTCCATAATAGTGACGAAGTATACAACATGAATATATTTTCTGATTTGTGTCTTCGTCTTTTGACTCATGTCTGTTTTGGAAAGATTATATAATATATGTTTTGTTGTATGTAAAGAAACTATATATTGCATGTACTATATTGCAATTTTATAATATTGCTTATTGGGATATATTATCTCACCTCCCTATCACCCTCCAGATACTGAAGATACTGATGCAGAGTGAGCGGTGATATGGAGAAAAATTCTGAAGTCTAGACTCTGATATTAAGGTTACTGTTTCGTATTTTTATTTAGTAATGTAAGTAAGAAAATTTAGAGCCTCTTATATATGTTTATGTTTTATATTTAAATGATGTAACACTTCAGTGACTCTTTTTTTATTAATAAAATTAAGTTATTTTACTTTATTCGAGTCTATATAATTTACGGAAGTATGCTCCGGTCATTACCCTATAAGACAGGGTGTGGTCCGTGACAAATGGTATTAGAGCATGATTATAAGACATCCCTTGAATACGAGACTTAGAGTTATATAAGACTTAGATAGAGTTGAGAAACATAGGAAAATGTCTCTAAATTTGAATTTCATTAATATAGGAAATGACAAGGATACCGAGAGAGAAGACACAGAATTTTGGAAGACCAGATCGAGGAGAGTCTAGATAGACTCATGTGTATAGTCGAAGGCTTGGCCACGGTGGTAACTCAACACGTAGTCCATAGCCAAAGTGCTACAAATGGTAATAATCCTAGTACTAGTAACACTTGACCGATGGAAGAAAATAATGGAAAACTCATTGAAAGATTTAAGAGAATGAACCCACCATCATTTCCTAGAGCAACAGACCCGATATGAGCCAAATAGTGGATCGTGGAGTTAGAGAATATATTTGATGTTCTCAGCACCACTTCAAAGCAAAAGGTATAATTTACCACATTCATGTTCAAGGAAGCTGCAGAACACTGGTGGCGCTTGAAGAAGGGATCACGGAGGACACTGATCCTTTGGAAAATATTTGGAGCGGCATTCTATGAGAAGTATTTCCCTGACTTTGTTCAAGAACAAAAGCAATGGAATTCCTAGAATTAAAGCAAGAGAATATAAGGGTG